AGGTGGTTGTGTAGCTGGATGGATGGATAAGGATAGATGCCTCAAAGGAGAAAACAATCGTCGATGGTCTTCCTTCCTTTCTTCTCTTAACTTTAAGCTCATATTATATTAAGGGATTTCAAAGTGATGCTCATTCTACGGGGAGTTGAATCTATTCTACTTCCAGAGAGAGAGAGAGAGGGTAACCTTTACTACACATAAATTTGGTTTCTGATTAAAGGTTACATGATTCCACTTTTTCTTCTTTTTTTTAAAAAAATAGTACCAACGTCACCTACTTGAGCATCTAATCCATGAGGTTAACAATCGGCAAATAAAGGTTCAAAGTCCAAAACTATCGTGATGAAACAGACGCCTCCCTAAGTGCCTTTTTGGGCACTACATGATTTGACAAAACACCTAAAGTTCCAGTCACACGGGACTTTAAATTATTTCCTGTTTTGTTCTCTCCCTCCAAAAAAGGAACAGCTAAGAGATTGTAAATTCGCTTCTTTGCCTCAAACCAATGTATAGTTGCTTGACGGGGAATTAGAAAGGGAGTAATGCCAACTTCTGCCAATTTTCGAACGGAATACTTGTGACCTTGATTAGTCATCGAACTTCACCCATTTTATTGTGCCATTTTATTACCATGTCAATAAAAACAATAAGAACAGCAGTAGCAGCATCAATAACAGCCCCAAAAATCCGCTCCATCCTTAAGTAGTCCAAATATATACATATATATTTAATTAAAGCAGTTAGAAGGGAGGTAAGTGTAAGGGGGTGTGAATTTTGTCTGAAGAAAAGGACTTCTAATTGAAAAAGTAATTAGGAATATTAAATCAACCACTGCCATTAGGTAGAATTTATTCGCGTAACCTTGACCCCCAAGGCACTTAATTTGCTCATTTAAAGGCAGAAATTTGATTTGCAAACAAACTGGTATTTTACGATTTCATTTCTTCTTCGTTTTTAAAACTGCCAAATCGGTCTCGCCTTCTAATATTTAAGGGCATTTTCCGCTCTTCTATGCAAAAAACTCACCTATCGGTGGGGGAAGAGGGGGGGGGGGGTCAACATTTCGAAAACTGGTAAGTAGAAGCTGATTTACCACCATTGAATGGGTGTTCAAAAATGAGGGATAAAAAGAACTGAATAATAAATTAGTTGCCCATTTTAAATATTTGTTTTTCAATTCTGACAGCATCAAAGGATGGATCTAGAAATGGGAAAATCCTGTCTAGACACGCATACATGCAGACGGCAGCGTAAGGACCTCCAACATACCGACCCTTGAAGGCAATAGTGTCTGTGCAGTAGCAGAGAGAGGATGCTGCCGCTGGTGGTGCAAATAGCAGATCAAATTAGGGCCATAAATACACCCTCCAAACTTGCTATTGGTTGATGATGGCTCTGTTGCCGAGATGTGGCACCGTTTCCAGATAATTAACAATCACCATGATTAACCTGGTCTGAAAAGGGGAACAAGTGCTACTCATAGCTACAACACAACCCCTAAAAGCCGGCACTTATTTCGTTTTAAGCCTTAGGCTACTGATTGGAATAAGGACTGCAGGTGGATTAATGCCGTGACTCCAAGAATACGTCATCCATTTCCAAATCGGACAGGGTTCAGGAGGAAGTGGCGAACTTCGGAAGACCAGTCTTCTCAAGATTGATAGTGGAGAGGAAAAACGACGAAGAACCTTCCTGAACTGACAAGTAAATAGGCCTAGTCGTTTGTCACTCATGGATGTCTTGATGCGCGACGTAAAAAAAATGTGTCTTCGGATATACGTGGACTTTTTAGGAAGTCCCAAAGGTGAAAAGAGGACTTTTAGAGAAAAATAGCTAAATACGCAATGCGAATTGATGGATGACAAAATTGCTGTTTTAATTTGGAAGATTTGAGGTAATCAGCTGTCATTTTTCGGGTAAGAAAACACAACAGACGAGAAGTGATGGCAATGGTGGTGGTGGTGGTGGTGGTGGTAGTAAATGTATCGCAGGCTCCTTCTTCGTTTGTGAGCGGGTACACACACACAAACACACACCAACTTGTCTGGAATTCAGGCCCCAGGTTGACCCCACAATCGGACGACCAGTCAATGGGATTGTGTGCAAACGAGTCCTATTCGAGCGCGCAGGAGGTAGACTCGAGAACAGTGGGACCACCAACACACAAGCTTTAGTAAAACGAAATGAGATTCGAACATTGTTGCGCCCTCACCCGCGCTCGCACTCGCGACGGTGCCCGCGCCCTCACCCACACCCGCATCCGCCCCTCCGCCCGCACCCACACCGCACCCGCATCGCACTGCGCTCGCGCAATTCGTTACAATTAAAACAAATATGTTCACATACATGGGTACACAGAATTACATTATGACAGTTTTGGGACAGAAAATCGATTTAGTTTAGGCGGGGAAGGTGGGGGCCGGGAGGTTCATTCCTTATAACTGGCATATTCACTTGCTCCTTCTTATAAGGAACTGATATTTTCCCATTAATTTTATTCTAAGTAAGAAATTTTTTGGTGAAAATGAGTAGATTATGTAGAAAATCTACAAAATCGGTATAGTTGGTGCAGTTTGGAAAATCGGCTGCAACCGACAGTTGAAAAATCAATATGACAAGCACGAATGACATTACCTATCGGTAAGAAGCGAACTTGGTTAGGTCGAATTTCTTCTAATTTTCCTCCAATTCTTTTACGAGTCCGAGATCCATCATATCATGATCGTGGGGTGGGGAAAAAATGCTTTTAACATCCAACATTCCAACAAAGTGTCACTCTCTGCGTCATCTCTGACGGTATAATGACGGACAGGAGTACTGGCAGCGGAAGAGTAAAGAGCTTTTGTAGCTAAATTATTCTACTAAAGGGGCCATATTTGGGGATAAAGTACTCTTTTAAGGTTTCCTGAATCCGGTTCTTTTTTGTGGTTATAGGTAAAGATACATGGGTGACCAACGTGCTCTGGCAGTCATCATTGTCAGCAGGGTAGTTGTTAAGTGCTTTGACAATGGCTCTCGTGTAGAGCGGAACCTTTTGCCTTTAGAGAATAGAGGGTGCGCTCCTGAAAAAAAAAAAATTCGTAGGGTTTGACGGAACTCTGCTCCTCCTCCCCCCTCCTCCTCCTCTTGGTGACATTTAAATAAGCCCTGCAGTAATTTATGGAAGCAGCTGACTTGTCAAATGGAGAGTTTGGATGAGACTAGTGTACAAATGTGTGGAAATTAGCGCTCCCAGTGATAGTATAGACGGCTTCACATGACTGCTGGGTTACGCTATGAAAAGGCAAATAAAATGTCTGTTGCATAGACGATGGGATTGAGGACAGGGGCTAGATATGCAGAAGCCTTCGAAATGTTTAATAATACAATTTGTATTTCATTTTTGAAAAGTTCTTTTTGTGGAATAAGACGACTGAAAGGAGTCTCCCTTGAACGCGTAGGTCTGCTTAAACTACGCCCAACTTCTAGGTAGCTTAAAAGAACCTGTAAAGTAGAACAGGACCTCGAGATTGTCTTTGCGATAGCCATAATTATTATTATTGCAATCGTACACTTTGTTACTATCACATGAATGATGAATCCATGGAATAATTAAATGCTCAAAACTTGATCATTTTATCCCATCCGACAGCATGCCTATCTACACGTTCAGCAATGTCCATCCATCCATCCAGCTACATAACTACTT